AACAGGGATAATTTAATATAAAGCATTTTTGACTGTAACAGGAGATTACCTCCTAAAGCGTAAAGACATACGGGGAGCAGCCCCTACTTCTAGGGCTGGGGCAGGGCACACAACTACAGGACAGATCTGGGGGAGTCAGGTGCTGTGTGAGTGCAGTGTATGTTCAGTTGTGTTTATCGCCACAGCCACGCTGGGGGTAGGCATTTCTTATTCTCATGGAGGCCCAGAGGGGCAGTTGGACTCCTTTCTGTATTCTCAAACCTTAGGGATCTGAGGAGCATGTAAGAGCCTTGGAATTGACACTCTGGGGATCCATAGTGAGTCCTGGTGGAGCTCAGCGCCCCCTCACTCCTTCAGGGCCCTGGGATCTCTCTCTTCTCCCGGTGACCCTTCTCTTGTCCACTGGGCCAAGGGTCCTCTGAAGTTGTGGATGGCATCCAGACTGCCAGTCCAGACAGGAAGGCAAGACCACTTGGGCTCACCCTGGGGCCTATTCCACAGAGGCCCAGACCTCACCCAGGGGTCTCATGCCCATTAGGGAACTGGACTCCCTGGGAACATGGCACATGATCCCAGGAGCCTCAGAGACTCACAGGAGCTGATTTTGGGATCCACAGGAGCTACCAACCTTTACAGCAAGTGTATCTGCATACTGACCTCTGATAGTCCCATTTCACAGATGCAGTGTGCTAGGACCACTCGGGATCCCAGAGGGAGCCAGTGCCAGCCCCAGGGGGCGGGAAGACATCACTGTGCTGCTCCCAGACTGCCTGGTGCCGCCCTGAAGAGCCTCTGTGTCTCATGTGCCTGTGAATTACCATTGCAGGGGCCTGCCTGGACCCTCATCTTACCACTAGCCTAGGGATGAGGCATGACAACTATTCTTCCATTTTCAGATGAAAGAACTTGAGGTTTCCTGAGGGTCTTATATTAGACAGTAGTGTCAGCTCCTGGACACCCAGTATGGACGTCTTCCACACCAGCCCTGCTCTGAGAGACCCACCTTGCTGAGATGAGTGGAAAGCCTGAGATCTCATCCACCCTGTGGGAGGTGGGTGGACCTGGGGTGGGATCTCATGCTCCAGCTGACACAAGGACCACTGGGAGGACACCTAGGCCACTGGAATGCGGGCAGATCAGGGGACCTGATTTGCATGAGTGTCCTCAGGCTTCTGGTGGAGGGGTGGAAAGGTGGTTTCCAGAAGGTTTGGAAGTTTAGGGATGGGTTTCTGTAGAAACTTATTGGGCTGCACGTTCTGGTCCAAGGAGAGAGTTGAGAGGGTGAAAAACACACTTGGCCAAACGTGTGTACACTCTCCTTCCTAGGGGCAGAGGCTGGGCTAGACCACGTATCTCTGGAGGAGACACATGTAGGGTATGCTGTGGTCCTCAGGCAACTGGGGCCATGCACTTCCAGACAGGCACTGTGCTCTGAGCCCTTGCTGGAGGAGCAGAGCTCCCAGCTGAGTATGAAGCTCCTGGGGGTGGGGGGCAGAGGAGAAAGATGGGGAGGGGACCCCCGAGCAGAGTGGAGTGAGCCTGGAAGGTCTGCAGTTTTGCAGGAATCAGCTCACAGCTGTCCCAACATTGGGGGGGTCGGGGGGGGGGAGGGCGTCGGCAGCTGAAGAGAAGCTGGAGGCAACATGGAGAGATTCCCCCTCCAGAGCTCCTCCTCTCTGCTGGGAGCAGACAGCTCAGGAGAGGGAAGACAGCTTCTTCTGAGCAGCAAGCATGTGGACTCAGGGGCAGAAGGAGCTGGATGGTTGGCCTGTCCCTCCTGTGGGCCTGTCCCTCTCTCGGAGGGGCTGCTACTGACCTCCAAGACGTCATCCCATTCCTGCATCCTAGGAGCTCTCTAAGACCCAAGTCAGTGTGGACTCAAAGAAGGGGCTGTCTGGTGAGGTAGGGCTTCCCTGGAGACCTCCTATCTACTGCAGCAGAGGGGCGGCGGCAGGGACAGAGCCTTACTTGGCTTGAACTCTCCCCAACCATTAAGCATGCTGTTGTCTTTACATAGCCCCTGTTGCATGCCAGCACCTCCATCTCCTCACATGGATGAGTGGCCCAGGAACAACCCACCCCAGCTGGCCTGTGCAGCAGGGCCGCCCACCAACCCTGCCACCTCGTGAGCCTTCTTCTTCAGCTCACCATCCCCATCAAGCTCGTCATTCCACCAGAATGTCCTCTCCTGTCTGCCTAGGGAGACCAGACCCATCTCTAGTAGTTGCTTACTGCTTCAGCACAAACCACCCTAACAGCTAGTGCCTTACACACAAATTCTCCATTTCTCACTGTTCTGTGGTTGACTGGGTTCAGCGGGAGGTCTTCCTGTCTGTGTCAGCTGAGGTTGCCCACAGGCCATGTTCAGCTGAAACACCCAGGTGAGCTCACATCCTCAGGCCCCCTTCCGCCAACAACCAGAGGCTGGCGTCTTCACAGCATGGAGCTCCTTTTGAGAAGGAGAAAGTGAGAGCTGCCAGCCTACCTAAGGTCTGGACTTAGAATGCCCAGACATCACTTCTGTGAATTCTCTGGGTCAGCCTGGAGTCAGGGGGAGTGTGGAGAGGCTCACCTCTCGATGGGAGGCGTGGCAAAGGCTGTGACAGCCTTTTCTCCGTGACACACCATCCCTTCAGGCCTGTCTTCCTGAGTAGGCTGCCACCTCCCAGGCTGTCTTAGTTATCTAGTGCTGCTACGACAGAAGTACCACAAGTCGATGGCTTTAATAAAGAGAAATTTATTCTCTCCCAGTCTAGGAGGCTAGAAGTTCGAATTCAGGGTGATAGCTCCAGGAGAAGGCTTTCTCTGTTGGCTCTGGGGGAAGGTCTTTGTCATCAATCTTCCCCAGTTGAGGAGCTTCTCAGTGCAGGGATCCTGGGTCCAAAGGATGCACTATTCTCCTGGCTCTTGTTTCTTGGTGGTATGAGGTCCCCCGTCTCTCTGCTTACTTCTCTCTTTTATATCTCAGAAGAGATTGGCTCAAAACACAATCCAGTCTTGTAGATTGAGTTCTGCCTGATTAACATACCTGCTGCTAATCCCATCTCAACGTCATAGAGATAGTATTTACAACGTATAGGAAAATCAACATCAGATAACAGAATGGTGGATGATCACACAATACTGGGAATCATGGCCTAGCTAAGTTGACAGATATTTTAGGGGGACACAGTTTAATCCATGACACAGGTCTATACAAGCTGCCGTAAAGCCTGGCCCTGCCTGCCTTGCCTGCCTTGTCCCAGGATACACGTTGGCTTCCCCGTGTTCGTGGATGGGCTGTCTGGCTCAGGATCTGGGAAGTGTCATGGATTGAGTTGCGTCCCCCCAAAATATCTGTCACCTTCGCTAGGTCATGATTCCTAGTATTGTATGATTGTCTACCATTTTATCATCTGACATGATTTCCCTATGTGTTGTAAACTCTATCACTATGATGTAATAAGATGGATTAGTGGCAGTTATACTGATGAAGTCTACAAGATTAGATAGTGTTTTAAGCCCATCTCTTCTGAGATATAAAAGAGAGAAGCGAGCAGAGAGACATGGGAACCTCATACCACCAAGAAAGCAGCGCTGGGAGTAGAGCGTGTCCTTTGGACCTGAGGTTCCTGTGCTGAGATGCTACCAGACCAAGGGAAGACTGATGACAAAGACTTCCTCCAGATCCGACAGAGAGAGGAAGCCTTCCCCTGGAGCCTGAATTTGGACTTCTAGCCTACCAGACTGTGAAAGAATAAACTTCTCTTTATTAAAGCCATCCACTTGTGGTATTTCTGTTATAGCAGCACTAGACGACTAAGACAGAAGGTTAGGTACATGAAAGCCCTCCCCTTTGCCAGTCACTCAGCACTTCCTGGTGTCAGGAATCGGGGCCCTGCCTGAAGAGCTCCCAGTCTTGAAGAGGCAGAAGATGACAAACAGCAGGCATCTGGCTGCAGGATGAGCAGGAGCAGCTACAAAGAAGGGAGAGGGAGGAGTTGAGGGCTTTTGGCCAAGGAGACAGGGTGTACATAGGCAGAACAGGGACAGGAGGGAGCCTCACTGGGTGCCTCACCGGGCCCTGATTCCCCAAGGCCAAGACCAGAGCCTGGGAGTGGGAGGAGGAGTGGGAGCAGCAAGGTAGTGTCTGTGTAGATAGAAGGGGCATGGTGAGCCTCTCGCTGTGGCTATGCCTCTCACTAGCTGGGCTAAAAATCACCCTGCTCTGTCCAAGGCTGTGGGCACAGACTACAGAAACGTGGGCCCTCCAGAGGCATAATGACAGAAGTGAGGAGAGGGAAGTGTACTTCATGGAACAACTTGCTGTGAGGCCCTGAAGCAGGTTTCATGGAGGAGGGGCATTGGGGCTTGAGCTGAAGAGTGGATAGGGCTTTCCAATAGTGGAGCCAGGTCAGGTAGGAAAGGGCATCCAGGTTGAGGGCACAGCCTCAGCCCAGGCCAGAAGGTGGAGCATAGGTGGGGCATCCCTGCCTGCCCAGAGGAGTTCATCCCCAAGTACTGGGCTGCTGTCAGGCTTGCCACCACCTGAAGGCTGACTTGCTGTCGCAGCATGCCTGCTGTGAGGACTCTGGCCAAGGACTCCCTAGCCCTGTGAGTTATGGAGCCTCCTGGTACGCTGCCTGGACACCCGGTCCTGGGATATCCTCTTGGTTTGTCTTGGTTGGAGCAGGGTCAGAAAGAGAGGCAGCTGACAGGTGCCGCTGAGAGGAACAGGCAGCCCAGTCGCCTCATCCTCTGACCCCTGGTCTGTGCTGGGAGGCCTTAGTGTTGGCATGATCAGTCTCACAGGCGCCTCTGTGGCAAGCTCGCTGCCCCTGCCCTCTCCCCACTCCCCTCGGGCAGGGGCCAGGCAGGAAGGCGGATCAATTTTTATTCGTTTGAGTCTTCCTTGAAATAATTGTGGCTTTAATCAGAATTTCTTCAGTGAAAAAGCACAGAAAGCTTTGATCCCTTACTAAATGGTCTTCCTAATCTCCCAGCCCTTCCGACCCCGCTTTGCAGAACAAGGGAAGGGCCAGCTCTTCTCACGCAAAGGCAGCAGTAACTCGGAGCTGAGAGGTGGCAGTGAGCGGCCCGCCGCACCCCGCCCGCACCCGGGCCCGCACCCTGCCCGCACCGAGACCATACCCCGATCCCAGGCTCGCGCACCCTCGTCACGGGCCCCACCCCAGCAGCTGGAGGGAGCCGGGGCGCAGCGGAGGCGGGCTTGCGTGGGCCTTGCCCCTCCCCTCCAGGCCTAGGCGCAGCTCCCCGGCGCCCCCCACAGCTGACGCGCCGCCGGCAGCGAGCCAGGACCTTGCAGTGCCGCAGCCAGCCGGACCATGGAGGGACGAGCGCTGCGCCGTCCGCAATTTCTCCCGCTGCTGCTGCTGCTTAGCGGTAAGGAGGACGTCGACGGGCCTGGGGGCGAGGGGGTACCCCAGCTTTCTGGGGGCAGCGAAGAGGACACGCGCGGGCCCGCACCTTTCCCCGCACCAGCACCGGGCTGCGCAGGCAGTGCCTCTGGGTGCTTGCGCAATCCCGGCCTCCGCGGAGAGGGGTCCCTTCACCCGGCTCCCGCGAGCCCCAGGCTCTGCAGGAGGGTCCTCAACCTGTCACCTCCTTACGACAGAGGGCACCCCGGGGAGCTGTCTGCCACAGGATCCGGGCTGGGAAGGGAGGGGCGGGGTCTCGGCAGGTTCCGCTGGGCCCGTGGAGCCGCTTGGGAAGGGCCTTCTCCTCCTGTCCTCGCTGCCCCAGGTATGCGGAGACCTCACCAGCCCCGCATCCCGAGGAAGGTCAGCCCCAGGAGGTAGTAAGCGCCATGTTACGGACCTCCTGTACCTGTTGACTTGATGCCCACGTGCAGGGGCTGCGGATGAAAGGAATCCAATTGTGCAGTGTCATGGATTGAATTGTGTCCCCCCAAAATGTGTGTTATCACTTTGGCTGGGCCATGATTCCCAGTATTGTGTGATTGTCCACCATTTTGGCATCTGATGCGATATTCCTTTGTGTTGTAAATCCTGCCCCTATGATGTTAATGAGGGGGAATGGGCAGCAGTTGTGTTGATGAGGCAGGACTCAATCTACGGGATTGGATTGTATTTTGAGCCTGTTTCTTTTGGGATATAAAAGAGAGAAGCGAGCAGAGAGACAGGGGGACCTCATACCACCAAGAAAGCAACGCTGGGAGCAGAGTGCGTCGTTTGGTCCCGGGGTTCCTGCGGAAAAGCTCCTAGACCAGGGGAAGATTGATGAGGACCTTCCTCCAGAGCAGAGAGAGAAAGACAGACTTCCCCTGGAGCTGACACCCTCAATTTGCACTTCTCTCCTACTTTACTGTGAGGAAATAAATTTCTTTTGGTTAAAGCCTTCCACTTGTGGTATTTCTGTTATTCCAGCACTAGATGACTAAGACAGGTAGGAAGTAGCTCCTTGTCCCTCTTGCTCTCGGCTCCCTGAGGACAGCCTTTCTGTGAGAGAGAGAGAGAGAGAGAGAGTGTGTGTGTGTGTGTGTGTGTGTGTGTGTGTGTGTGTGTGAGAGAGAGAGAGGCAACCTTCTGCCTGGCTAATGTCTCCTTAGCAAGAAAACATGACTCCAGGGAGGAAACAGTACTCACAAAATGGGAATGAATGGAATTAAAAGCTCGTTTGAGAAGTCTTACTGAAGAATTTATCCAAGAAAAAACAAGATGTTTGTGTTTCCGGGAAACGCAGCCTTTGCTTTAGTCTGAAGGGTGCTTGCTGAGGGCTGTGGGGAGCTGAGTGATGCTGACCGGGAGGGTTCTGATTTAGGAGGGGACCTGGTGCTGGAAAAGCTGGCCAGGGTCGGGGGACTCAAGGTCTGTTCCACCTGGATAGTGCCTCCTATGTCCCCTTGATGTCTTCCTTCCCCTTGCTGGCCTCAGTTTCCCTGCCTCTAAAATGAAGGGTTGGGCCTGATTGCCAAAACCTTAGCTTTGCTGGTTTACAATTTTGTGATGGAGGTGGGAAGGGGTGGATTGACCCATTCCTTCCTCTCGCATCCCGAAATCTAGGCTGCTGTCAATTGGAGTTGTCTTGGCATGGAGAAGGTATGATTTTATTTATGTTCCAGGGTGGGAGCCCGAGAAGGGAGTCACTGTGTCCACAGAACCGAGGGTTTGCTGGAGAGGGTGGCTTCCAGAAACCAGGAATACACCATTTTGGAATTTCAGCAACATTTAAAGGCTAGGCCTCTGGGATGGAGTTTTTTTTTTTTTTTTGACAACTGAAAAGTATTTCTCTTGGAGATTTTATTAGATATAAGAGGAAAGCCAATAAAAGATATTTGTTTGTATGTCAAAATTTTATATAAGCACTCACACGTTTGTACATTGGTATTAATCATTCCTTTTAACACGCAAGAGAATTTTTACAATTCTAGGATGAGTCAATCAGAAGATGAAAAGTAAAAACGCAAAGTAGAGGCTTTTTTCCCCTCCAGGATAGGGGGAGGAGTAAACATGTAAATGGTTGAAAGGTGCTGTTGAGTCAGTTCGCTCAGGGACCCTGTGTACAGCAGAGCAAAACACTGCCTGGTCCTGCGCCATCCTCACAATCATGGGATGGAGCTTTTTATCCTCATAAGGGAAAAGAGAGCCTTCAGAGTTCATTCAGCGGGAAGTTAAGACTTTCCTGACCCACCTCCAGCTTAGGGGTAGAGGTGGACAAAAAACAGAAGCTGATGTAGTCTTTTGCATTTATGCTAACCCTGGTTCTGACATGGGTCCAATTTGTATGGGCTGCCTTCTCTTCCTGTTACCTGTCCCTTGGATAGTGCTTACCTGGCCAGAGTGAGGGTCTCGGGAATTGGGTCTCATGAGTAAGACCCCGAGACCACCCAGACCTGCTCAGGGTCACACAAAGGCTTGCCAGTGGTGGACCAGCACCCACATTGGCATTGGACTTGGGAAGGAAGGTGGAGAGCTGAGTGGCCTAACTCCTAGGGCTGCCAGGCTGGGCTTGTGGCTGTCTGTGCTCTGACACCCTGCTATCTCCAGAACTGTGTTTTAGGCCCCAGCAATGCAGGGGAGAGGCCTGGCCTCACCCAGAGCTGGCAGGAATGGTTTATATGGCTGGAAGAATGGCTTCTATTGACTGAAGGTTCATTTTGATTTATTTCTCCAAAGGGTCCATCCAGGAAGATGCTGGCCTTCGCCTTTGTCTTAGGCTGGGTTTTCTAGAGAAGCGAAATCAGTGAAGTGTATAAATATATATATAGAGAGGTTTATAGTAAGGAAGTGGCTCATGAGGTTGTGGAGGCTGGCAAGTCTCAAGTCCGTGGGTCAGGTTAGAGGCTTCTCCTGACTCATGTAGCTGCAGGGGCTGGCAAACCCAAGACTGGCTCACGGGCTGCAGAGGCCAGTGAATCCCAAGATCAGCAGGTAAGACGGTAGAACACTGGCTCACTGGATGAGGAGGCTGATGAATTCCAAGATAGGCAGATAAGCTGCTACCTCAAGTCCCAAGAACCAGAGGTCAGATGAACAGGAGCCAGCTACAGAATCCAGAGCAAGCAAAAGCCAGTGAGCTTTGCTAGAAAGTCCACCTATATTGGATGCAGGCCACACCCCCAAGGAAACTCTCTTTCACCGGAGTGGCTACTCATAACATAGCTCATCATGGAGATGATTACATTATATCAGATCTCATTATGGAGGTGATTACATCATTACATAGCTGCCAAACTACATCATAACTGCCAAAACCACTGAGAATCGTGGTCTAGCCAAGTTAACACACAACTTTAACCATCACAGCCTTTAAGCTTCCAGGGGACCTCTGAGAATTACAAACCTTTTTTTCAGAAAGTAGTCAACACTGCACAGGTCCTTGGGAATGGTAAAGCCCAGTGAACCCACATGACGCCTCTGCACCTCCTTGGTCCCAAGGTCATAGAGCACTTCTCCCTTAGCCTCAGTCTCTGCAAGTGCACTCTGATGCCATCCTAGGAAGTCTGCTGGGTCATTGTGACCACTGAATGTGATTCAGTTTGGTGCGACCCCACTCCCCTAAGTGAGGCCCAGAGTGTGTGTGTGTGGGGGTGTCCATGTTTTGGCTTACACGGAGGGATGAATGGGAGTGCTGCCAGCGTGGCCTGGGCCTGTGGGCAGTACCAGTCGGCTGGTAAGCGGTGCCTCAGTGGTGTAGTCCCAGATGGAGTACTTCTGGTGTGGAGGCATACATGGTGCTGCTGTTGTTCTTATCATTAGTAAAGGTAAAGACACACGTCCTGTTGTGTCACGTTGGATTCGGTTGAGTCACATAGACTTCAGTGACCAGGCTAACTGCAGTGATTGGACTATCAAGTAGTGAAGGAGGTTGATGGCAAAGAAAAGGACCATGGATTTTTAGGACTAGAAGGTGCCTTGGAGGACATCTGGTCCTACGCTTCATGTTATAGATAAAGTGAGGCCCAGCGAGGAGAAGGGAAGTGCCCCAGGCTGTAGGGGCTGGGACAGAACCAGCCCAGAAACCCTGGCCTCCTGGGGCCAGACCAGCCTTTGGCCACCTGCAGCTGCCTTCCAATGCCTTGATGCTGCTCATATCCATCTCATGAGGACGAGAGCGCATTTATTTCATTTCGAATGACTGGTCGTAGAAGGCCTTTCTCCTGGAAATGTGTCTGTTCATCATCTTGCAGGGTCTGGAAGTCACTGAGACAAAAGAACTGTATTTTTTAGTTTCCCAACAGAACCAACCCAAATGACTTTCTACTTGATTTAGCTCTTTAGACTTTGACTAATGCAGCCAGTAGCCTGTGTGGCAGTGGCCTGTTTTTCTTGGTGTTGTCAGGAATTCAAGTCTTTTCCTTGGGCCAAGGGATATCGAGAGCACTGGCAGGAAGTTTGGTTTGTGCACATCTGCAGGGAGGGGGTGGAGCACAGGAGACCCCTGCAAGGGTGCTGAAAGGATCCCCTCAGGAAATGACAATGGCCAGGCCCAGGGAGGGACAAAGGGCTGGATGTGGAGAGTGGCCAGGTAGACTTTCGGGATGGGGAGCTGGCAGGGAAGTGATGGTCTTTGGAAACGGGCACTGATTTTGACAAAGTAGCTCAGGCCATCAGCTGCCATTGTCATTATGTCTGCCTCTCAGGGTTATTAATGCCAGGCCTGCCAGGCGGTTGGGCCCAGGGCTGTCTTCCTGCAGGCAGAGTTGGCATGTGCAGTGGAGCAGGATGGTGCCCAGGGCACACTCTGGCTTGGACACCGATTCCACTTTTGGCCTTGAGAAAGTCATTTCTCCGCTGAGCCTCAGTATCCTCATCTTCAAAGTGGAGGAGGGTAGGTGGTTTTTAAGGGCCCTTCCCAGGATAGGAACTAGCCTGAACCTCAACAGGTACTTGGAAATGCAGGCCAGAAGGGAATGAATGAGA